CATGTCTGGTCACCAGAAGCCCCAAGGCCACCCAGGTGAGCAGTCCCACAGCCACCCAGTGCGGGTCCCTGGGCCTCAGGCCACCAAGCTTACCAGAGGGACAGAGACAGTGACTCCACTTGACCTTCAGCTCTATACCTGTGTGGGGTCAGCTTTATTCCACTCATGCCCTCTGTCCACTTCTATGGTCGCTCCTCCATTCCATTCTGTCCCCACCCTCATTGTTCCCAAGACTCTTCCTAAGAGTATGCCGCAGACAGCACTTTTGAAGAATTTTGCTATCAGGGAAAGCAGAGAGGTGGCCCAGTGCCTGAAGGGGCCCGAGTGGTCAATGGAAAGTTTTTGCTTGTTATTTTTAATGAGATAAATTAAATAAATGAAAGGGAGTGTCTATGGTGGAGATGAAAAGTAGGAGTGGCGATTCAGGGTGAAGTGGAAAACGTAAAATAAGAAGGGGCTCACTTGGTCAGAGATGACAGCGCCATGAACTTGGAGAGAATGGTGGAGGGGCCAGGCAGGGAGGAGAAGCAAACACACAGAACAAAACAAAACAAACACCACCCTCTTCTCCCCTCCTTTATTATGCAGAGCAAACTGCCCAATTCACAGATTCTTCCAGTCAAGGTTGTGAATACTGAGACATAAAAGTTTTGTATCTTTTTTACTCCATATGCCTCCTAAGACAAGAACTGGAAAGCTAGAAAGGATGCCTAAATTGGTTGTTGTATTTCTCTGAGATCAATTAAGGCACTGCAGCATCTTTAAGAACATCTGGGGGCCCAGGTAACATTCATTCAAGCAATTGAGTTGAGGCAGGAAGGGACCCTCTCTGCTACTATCTGGGCTGTGATCAGGTAGAGGGTTTCATGTCACTGGAGACCTGAAGGTCATTCTTGTTTTTACCTGCTTCTCCCAAACGTGGGCAGACAGTCAAGAGTCCAGGACAGTAGTATCTGCTGAACCACAGTAGTTCGCCTCTTTGCCAGGAAATTTTCTGTATGGGGAATGGGTGTCCTGGGACAAAGGGCTACAGAGCTGATACAATGCCCCCCTGTGTGTTCCCATCCAGTGGGCCGGAGAGGATTCCTGGAGACATTTTTGTTGGGTTACTGCACACCCACAAATAGCTACTTAAAAAAAGGAAAAGAACAAAACTTCACAATTAGAGGGCTATTTACAAAAGGCATTTAAAAATTAACAGACACACAGATGTTCCTGTTACTTTTTGCAATAGACTTGAAACTGTTCTCCCAGCCTCCAGTCTCTCCCACACCAATCCATTCTGCACATTATAGCAAGATTCATCTCCTTAAAGCACAGATCTGATCTGGTCACTTCCACACTCCAGCACCTTCTGTGGCTCCCCATTGCCCTTTATTTATTTATTTAGATGGCTGTGTTGGGTCTTTGTTGCTGTACGTGGGCTTTCTCTAGTTGTGGCGAGTGGGGTCTACTCTTCGTTGCGATGCACAAGCTTCTCACTGCAGTGGCTTCTCTTGTTACGGACCATGGGCTCTAGGTGCACGGGCTCAGTAGTTGTGGCACACTGGCTTCGTTGCTCTGTGGCATGTGGGGTCTTCCCGGACCAGGGATCGAACCCGTGTCCCCTGCATCGGCAGGCGGACTCTCAACCACTGCGCCACCAGGGAAGCCCAAAGCTGTTAGTTTTTAAAAAGGCAAGCCGCAAGCTGACAGAGGACTTATATCCAGAATACATATAAAACTCTGACCAGTCAGTAATGAAAAAGGAAAGAAGCAAATACAAAAAATGGACAGACAAATGGAAAGATAACTTCATAAAAGATGAACCCTAATGAAATTGAAATGGCCAATGAACATATGAAAAAGCGATCAGTTCCATTAATCATGAGGGAATACAAATTAAAACCATAATGAGCACCCACTGCACACACATCAGAATGAGTGAAATGGAAGATTCTGAACATATCCTAGTGTTAGTAAAAGATGGGAAGCAGGTGGTTAATAAAAGATGGGGAGGACTTCCTTAGTGGCACAGTGGTTGAGAGTCTGCCTGCCGATGCAGGGGACGCCGGTTCGTGCCCCAGTCCGGGAAGATCCCACATGCCACGGAGCGGCTGGGCCCGTGAGCCATGGCCGCTGAGCCTGCGCGTCCGGAGCCTGTGCTCTGCAACGGGAGAGGCCACAACAGTGAGAGGCCCGCGTACTGCCAAAAAAAAAAAAAAAAAAAAAAAAAATCCTACCCATTCTTCCAGGTTCTTTTTAAATACTCCCTCATTAACATTCACAAAGTCACAAAGTCTCTGGGATAAGAGTAATTGGTGGCGACTTTACTTCCTCTATGATTTCACAGCACTTTGGGATCCTGTGATCACTTGCCTGGAAGCATGTGCATGGAAAGAGCAAGAGCTTTGGGGACCTGGGTTCTAGTGCCAGCCACTTCCCATGTGGGTGGCCACGAGCAAGTCCCCCACAGCCATATAGTACTTAGCTACAAGCAACAGGAAGTGACCCTTGATTTCAACAGAAAAGGGAATCAGGTAGTTGCTAGAATTCCTGGAAGGCTAGAACCAGGCTCACAGATATGATGCCAGGTGTGATGCTTAAAATCCTACTACAGAACTAGTTTGGTACAGATACCATGGCTGATGTTGTCAGGCACAGCTCACGTAGTCAACTCCAATGGGCACTGGGTCTGGACTCAAGAATGCCCCTGCCACTGCCGCTAGAATCCCTGATGTGGCTGCCTCTTGAAGTGGAGGGTGCCAACACACCTGCCACCAGAGCAGATCCTGCAGTTCCTATCCCTTGAGGTTGCCAACTTCTGGATTCAAAGTCTGCGGCACAGGTGTCTGATTGGCAAAGCCTAGGTCATGTGACCTCCCCCTAGCTCCAAGAGACTCCGAGAAAATGAGTGTCTGGCCTTTCCAGTTTTTATAGCAGGAGGTGGTCTTGTCTCTTAAAGTAGAGGACTTCCCAAACACAGGAATGGTCACTGCTGGGGCTCAGAGTAGCCTGCCCAAGATACGCCATGATGGCATATTGATTATTTTGAATTAAAGTTACTTGAGAAACAGCTAGTAGAAAAAAAATGATATTAAAGAAAACCTCTCTGACCCCCCTGTTTCTCCCTGATAGTGGGAAATAAATCTCCCATGTGAAGGTATCCTCCTTATACCAGGAGGATAGAAAGCATCCTTCTCACCAGAGTTAGGGAATTCAAGGCTGAGAAATCTGTATAAAGAAACATTGTTACTTCTTCATTCATCTGCTACACCAAGCACGAGCCCCTTTGTTCCATTGAATCTTCACAAATAATTGCTTCTTTGTCTAAAAATGATATTGCATAAACAGCCTGCTTTGGTCACTTCAGGGGTCCCATTTCTATGAGACCTCCATGCATATAAATTTATTTTTTTTCTCCTGTTAATCTGTCTTTTATATATATATATATATATATATATATATATATATATATATTTTTTTTTTTTTTGGCGGCACGTGGGCCTCTCACTGTTGTGGCCTCTCCCGTTGTGGAGCACAGGCTCCGGACACGCAGGCTCAGCGGCCATGGCTCACGGGCCCAGCCGCTCCATGGCATGTGGGTTCTTCCCAGACCGGGGCACGAACCCGTGTCCCCTGCATCGGCAGGCGGACTCTCAACCACTGCGCCACCAGGGAAGCCCTGTCTTATGTATATTTAATAATTAGACCAGTCAAATGAACTCAACATCACCAAAAGAAGGACACATGTCCATGACATCACCTACAGACAAGCTACCTCCCTGCACCTGTTTCCTCATCCAAAAAACAGAAATAATGATGGCTCTATGCAGGGGAGCTGTAATGGTTAAAGGAGCTGGTGGGTAGGAAGGACCCATCCTACGCCTGGCTCACAGCAGGAGCTTAGTCAATGGTAAACATCATTATTGGTGATTTGGGCTCCATTCTAATGTCTCCTCCACTCCCCGGGGTCCCCAAACCTTGGCTTCTCAGTCTGCTGTGAAATGGGATTCTCTGCATAATGTTTCATCAAGTTAACACATTTTCTACCTCACAGAGCAGCCCATCTTTCCCACCATCCTATAGAAGTGAGAACGCAATGTTTGAATCAGCTCCGGCTTTCCCTCAGGGCACTGTCTACATTGTCAGGGGAAGGAAGTTTCTAAAAAATGTATTTGTTATCTCTAAACTGAATTGAAATCAACTCAACAAATGTTTGATTTAAACTTTTTTATTTTTAGACATTTTTCTTTAAGCGTTTAATATCATTTATTGATTCAGTGGCCAAATAAGGCAGCATCTGCTCTGTTAGGAAAGGCACCTGTCAGAAAAGAAATTCAACTGTGCTGCACGATCCCTGTCTCAGGAGGCCAGCTGCAGACTCCCTGAGAGCAGGGACCATGCTTACTGTATTTAGTAGCACCTCAACTGGCATACAGGAGCCCTTAAAGGATGTTTACTGAGGTAATCGTCATCAGTTAAAAACAAAACACAACGCTTTTCTTTGCCTCCCCCTCACCTCTCTACCTCCCCCTTCCATTTCCAAGCTTTCATTTATACTAGAGGGATATGTTCTTCTTTCTTCCAGGAAGATTCCACTGTGGACAGAAGAGTTTGGCTTTAGGGCTAGAACACTCCAAACAATTTTTTTTTTTTTTTTTTTTTTTTGTGCGTGGGGCGCCCACTGTTGTGGCCTCTCCCGTTGTGGAGCACAGGCTCCGGAC